TTTAATAAGCTGCAAAGACTATCAAAGCATATAGAGCATAATAAAAGAAGAAACATATGACAAAATAGAGGAAATCATAAAAAAAGAAAAACTCACTGAAAGAATACCAACTAGAGCTACAATTAAAGAAAATATTTTTGGTGCATCTAATAGAAACAAAAAGTTATATAATTAGAGGTCTAATTAAGAAAGATCAAAAACAAAGATTAGAGAATATATTCCAAAGCAGAAAAGCAGCCAGCAAGATAATAAGTGTAGCATTTAATAAGTTAGGCAAGAGATTTCATCAGCATATCTGAAACTTTAGATGTAAGCTACAAATAGAGTGAGAAAAAGAGAAGGAATTTTGAAGAAGGATAAGAAGACGAAAAAAGCCAACAAGAAAAGAAAAAAAAAAAAAAAAAGATGAGGAAAATAAAGAAAATCAAGCACAAACAGGAGAGCAGAAAAATAAGAAGAAAAAATACGCAAAAGCAGTAGCATTTAAAAATATGGAAAACCAAGTGTGGGATGATAAGAAACCAGATTGGTTTTTATGGATAAGATGTAAAGTTAAAACAGATATAAATAGCAGAACTAACAGGGTAGGTAGTCACCAGCCTGTAACTGAAGAAAATAAATCCTTAGTGAGTTAAGGATCTGGAGGGAGGCCAAAGACTACTGAGGCAGGTTGCATCTGAGCTAGGGATGTTAAATTGCGAATCCGGTCTGGTCTGGTCCTAGGACCTGAAACGACGGTCCTGGACTTGATTCAAAAAATGATAGTTGATTGATTTCAGGACTAGGTTCTGAATTACAATCCTCCATATAAGTTCATCTAATAAGATTAATAATTTATTATTACTGCATTAGACATAAAAATTTACTGTTACGATCAAAACTTTATTTTCAATATTCAATATTTTCAAGATTTTATTTGAGAAAAACAAGTTATACAAAAAATTTATATATAAAAAAAAATTTTACATCATATAAAAAAAAATTTATATAAAAAAATAAATTTATATAAAAAAAAAAAAATTTATATAAAATAAATTTTATATAAAAAATAAAAATTTATATAAAAAAATTTTTTTATATAAACAAAAAGAAAAAAAAATTTATTTATTTATGTACTAATATTATCTATCTCTTTGTTTAATATATCACCTAGTTCTCTATACCAGCTTTTCAAACACAAGTACGCACAAGCTATTTCAGAACTTATGTGATTTCGGGTAAGACTAATTGTGTGCTTGGCAACTGAGAAAGCTTGCTTGCTTAGCACGCTGATCGCTTGCACAGTGAGAAAGTCCATTGCAAGGCGGGAGAGAGTCGGGAACTGAGCAACATTTGCTTTCCACCAAAGAAGTGAATCCACTTCAGTTTCAATTTCAGTCAAGTACTTGTCAATTTTATATTGATTCAAGTCAGCTTGGTGACTTTGGTTAAGGTTACGAAAAAGTGTGCATGTTGATTTAGTAGTAGTGGGAGGTAAAAATGGTTGATTTTCTTTGGTTGGTCTATATTTTTTGTGCAATTCATGAAGTTTATTGATAGCTTGTTCACGTTTATAAATATCAAAGGTCGAAAGTTTATTGCAAGGATCAAGAAGGCCTGAAATTGTTGAAGATTCATTTAGGTGAGCCCAATACGATGTAAATTTTACTTTCATTGCACGAGTGTTGTGAATTAATTTCTGGACTTTCATTATTAATTAAGTGTATAATAAAGCCGCAGAATATCATATGCAAGTCACCTTGGGTAGGAAGTGTGAATGAAGACAGCATTATAGTTGCATGGTATATGGTCTCAAGAAAAATTAGCAGGTCCTGTAATATTAGTATATAATTAAAGCAGGTGTATTTCATAATTAAAAAAAATAATTAAATTTACTAACAAAAATAATTTTCCATTCCTGCTTAGTAGGATAAGTTGGCTTTAAAGTTTGGTTGCTTGCTACAAGGATATCGGTTATAGGGTGAATTCATTGAAGCTTTTCTAACATTATATATATACTATTCCATCTCATATCCACATCAGTCTCGGGCATTAAAAATGGAATATTTTTCAACTCAAAATTTTTTTAATTCTTAAATTAGCGACAGAAAGTTTCGAAGTTTTTTGGAGAATTCTCTTGCCTTAGAAATTTCTTTGCTTATTGATTTCCTCTATTTTGTCATATGTTTCTTCTTTTATTATGCTCTATATGCTTTGATAGTCTTTGCAGCTTATTAAA